TGGCTGCTACTCTGCTGCTGCTGCCGAGCTGCGTGCGTTATACATGTGCAGCAGCAACGGTGCATTTTCCATATTACAAGGGATCCACCAGCTAGCTAGCTAGCTAGCTACCGCTGTTCTCTTTCTCTCTGTCTCCGATCCTCCGCGCCAATACAGCACGCATAATCAGTCGTTGTAGTGGTAAAGGCAGCAGCAGCAGCAGCTACCACTACTCTTCGATACAGCTAGTCGTGCGCGCAAGCTCTCGCTCTTTCTCTCTCTTTCTCTCTCTCGCGCGACTCGTATCTATATAGACGTATACACGTACACAGTAGTACGTGTGTATATAGAAAGCTCACTGCTGCTGCTGCTGCCGTCGCCGTCGCCGCTGCCTGCCTGCCTGCTGCTGCCGAAGGTATAGAGAGAGAGAGAGACCTATAGGTAGTATAAGTAGAAATCGATAACTGGTACGTAGCTGCTTGCAGCTCCCTCTCCCAAAGCGTCCTCCTCTCTCTCTCTCACTCTCTCAGTAGTCGAAGCAGCGTAGCTAGAAGCAGCAGCAGCAATAGGCGGCCGCATACCCGAGGGCGAGGGGGTGAGGGGGGGTCGAAGGGGCAGAGAGAGAGCCTCTATATACTTATATATATACGCGCGCACACACGAACGTACACATGGCCAGTATACGCGTTGGTATTATATACATATATAACGTATTATATATATATGTAGAGCAAGACGCGCACACATCGAGAGGGGGGGAGGGCCTTTTACACGAAGCCAGTCAGCCAGCCCTTGCTGCCGTGCGCAGCGCATATAATACACAGAGAGAGAGAGAGAGAGAAAACACACATACACACAAGAGAGACTTTCCGAAAATTCCCTTATCTTCTGACCTACTTTTTATACCGCGAGAGAGAGACACAGAGAGGGTGGCTCGTAAAGCTCCGCGTCGTGTAGTAGCTGTGTGTTCTGTGCCTGTGCCTGTGCCGCCGCCGTCGCTTTCGCCTCGATATGCCTTTAGCACCCGCAAAGCTCTAGCTCTCTCTTGCTTGCTTTCTTGCTTCGCTTGTGCTGTGCCGCGCCGCGCGCCACGCGCTTATACTCGTTAAGTATCCATTAAGTCAGCCGAACCACCACCACCCCCGTATCCCGAACGAGCGAAACGATGACGACGACGACGACGACGAGACCCCGTGTAGTACGTGCACACGATCATGACGAACGATTCTCTCTCTCTCTTCCTTCTTCTTCTTCTTCTTCGTCTTCTTCTATTATGTACTTTTCTTTTTTGTATTCTTGTGTGCTTGCGCGCCACTCACTCAAAAAAAAAAACAGCAGCAGCAGTGAGACGAGACAGAAGGAGAAAAAAATAAAACATCGGCTACATTATACGTTGTACATTGTATTATATCGATCGAACGAGTATAGAGTAGCGTTCCGCAGTCGTGGCCGTAGCCGCTGCCACCACCGCCACGGTAGTATAGTAGTAGTAGTAGTAGCTGTTGCGCTAAACGGACGAGGAAAGACAGAGAGCGAGAGGCAGAGCAAAAAACTACTACTGCTACAAGCCGCGCACAGTAGTACAGCCAGAGCAGCAACATCAGTAGTAGTAAGCCAGTTTGGTCAGACGTTAAGTATATAAAAGCTAAACATTCTCTTGAGCTTTATGCACGCCGCTCTATACGTAAATCCTGTGCTCTCTTCTCTCTCGCTCTGCATTTTCGAAACATTGACAGCTACCTTACCTACCCCATTGAGGCATTTCAACCCCCGCCCCGCGGCAGCGCGCGAAAGTAACCACACACTAGCCTCTGTACGCGTATCGTCCCTCCTGCGCTTGTATGTACTTACACGTATACACGCACGCAGACACCCGTAAAGCATCTTATATATAGCCTGGCCGAGATCTGCAGCGCATTCCCTTCGGATGACCCAATTGTAAGCGCGCAGCACACCTCCGATGGTATATACGTGTGTGTGTGTGTGTGTGTGTGTGTGTGTGTGTGTGTGTGTGTGTGTGTGCAGCTGTACCGAACACGCCACCAACAAGCCAACCACCACTGCTGCTGCTGCTGCTGCTGCTGCACTTTGATAAATTATGAATCGCCGCTCCTCGAGCTCTATAAACTCGAATTAAAATATGTATATCCGTCAAAGCTTTTCCTCCGAAATATACACGCGGTGGCGGCCGTTGTACTATATGTGCCGCCGCCGGCCCTGATTGCCCGTGGCGGAAACGAGAGACGATCGCAAAAATTAAATATGTAATATCGTTGGAGCAGCGAGAGTGGAGCACGTTATACGCGTGCAGCGCGTCGTGTGTCTTCGTCTTCGTGTCGCGCGATCGGAGAATCGAGATTTCTCGCGCGCGCAAACTGCCGTAGGTACAGTGATTTTGCCGGGAAAATGTCTCTGCTGCTCCCCCCTGAGGCTGCTGCACATCTCGTTTTATTTATAGACCGAGAGAGAGAGAGAGAGAGAAAAAGTCGCGCGTGCTTATGGGTGATTATTCAACGCGTTTATTCAATGGACCGCGACGAGGTTAGCGAGTCTATATAGATACGGGGCGACGACGATCATGCCTATGTACGGGCCAATCCACCCACGCGTCGTTGTCTATCGTCGTAGTCATAGTCGTGTTCTTCTTTTTTTTCTCTCTCTCTATTTTCTATCGCTCTATGCGCGCTGCATCGGAAAAACTTAACGTCTTACGTATACGTGCACCGCCGCCGCTTACGTGTGTGATGTGTGCGCGTGTTGGCACTCTCAGAGTCATTCCCTTCCAGCCGCTTCCACCAGCCGTGTTTTGTGGTATTTTGCCATTAAAAGTCGTCTCTCTCTCTTTCCGCTTTGTATTGGAAATTAGTAAGAGACAACGAGGTACTACTATACTGCACATCGATACGGATGGGGGGCGAGCACGAGAGAGAATGTTTTTTTCCTCTCTTTTTTTTCTTCGCCGAGAATCGGGTAAAATATATCAAGAAACACGGGATGCGACTTTAAAAGCCAGACTACTGCTGCTGGCGCGCGCGCGGGAGACTTTTTGACCACAATTCGACTACTTAGAAATTTTATTTTCCTATTACGCTACGTCCCCGCCGTCAGACTTTATAGCAGCGCGAGTGTCTTGTGCCGCGCACAGCCGCAGCAGCAGCAGCAGCAGCATTAGCAGCAGCAGTGGCAGCTGAAGCAGCGAAAGAGAAAGAGAGGCAAAGAGAGAATCCTCCTTCATTATCGAGAAATTGATCCTATTAGACATGGAAAGGCATAGAGAGAGAGAATCTCCTGCTGCTGCTGCTGCGGTCAATAGCCCAAACTTTCTTCTCTATCTTTTGTCTTGGCTTTCTTTTATATATCTATTATAACGACTGCGCTACGCTACGCGAAAGGTGGGTATGTAATATGTATATAGGGTTGGCCCGGCTGCCGATAGTAGTACAACACGGTTGGCGGAAAAAAGCGAATCCTTGTTAGGCGCAGTCGGGAAAGAGAGTTTCTCATCCCGGTGTGGTTGACCACTCGCTCTCTTTACCCCCTGCCTATATACCATATCTCAGCCCCGCGTCGCTTTGTCTTACTTTACCTTCTCTCTCTCTCTCTCTCTATCTTTTTTTTCACCCTTCATTGATTTTTCGCATCGAGTCGCGTCGGGCGCGAGAAATTGTTTAAAACGCCCGAGCCCGAGACTCGCTCGATCGGACTCGTATAAATAAGTCCAAGAGAGAGAGATATATATTTTAAATTGCCCACTGCTGGTACTGTTACTGCTGCTAGCTTGTATCACAACGTGCGCTCGAGATAGAGAGTATATACGTGTGTGTGTACGTGTACGTGTGCGGGGACGTCGAACAAAGCTCTTTGTTGGCCGAGAGAGAAACGGAGGCAGCTGCTACTGCTGCGGAGAAGAGCTTCGAAAAGAGATCGAACTCTGTACATATAACTATGCACGTTGCTGCTGCTGCTGTATGTGCTGCAGACCAGACAACTATAAACTCGTGTGTGTTGGATCGAGAGTCGCATGCGAACCACCACACCGGCCGTCGTAGTCGCGCGCGTCCTGCGAGTAGTAGAGTACACACACACATACTCAGAGTGGAGTGAGACTTTAATTAGGATACGTCAAGAAAGCAGGCAACCGATACAACCAACGCGCAAGCCAAGGCTGGACTGACTTTTCCCGCGCGCCCGTCGTATTATAACAAAAAAAAAAAAAAAAGAAAAAGGGAAGGAAGGAAGGAGAAAAGGAGGGAAAAAAGCTCGCTTCTTCATTTTGCGTCTGCTCTGCTGCTGCTCGCTCTCTACGCGTATTATGCATACTACTTTTCTCATCGTGCATCCGACAATGGACGCGTCTCTGCACACACACGTGTGTGTAGTATACGTCGGCGTGGGGAGGGAAAAGAGAGAGAGAGAGGCTTGATTGAACACAACCATTGGGAAGAAACGAAGAAAAACGTCGAGATTACCTTCGGCGACTAAACTTTTCAAATCGGACTTTTTCATCCTTCTTCTTGGGAAGGTTGAGGAGGAGGAGGAGGACTGCTGCACGCGACTCGTACGACGAAAATCCACTCGGCTACGCGCGTTTCCACATGTAGTACGTACGCGAGTATACTAATTTTCTGCGGGGGCCGCAGCTACTACTGCGCGCGTCTCTCTATCAATCCTGGCGCACAAGTTTATTACTCGACAGATACACGTATCCTCCTCCTTCTTTTTTTTTTATCTCTGCTCGGCTCCTTTTCAACAACGCCAACGGCAGAGGCAGATGGAAGATGAAAAAAAAAAAAAAAATACGGCATTGTGATCGTCGATAATATAAACGTATACGTATATGCGTGTATACAGCAGCAACAACAAAAAAAAACATAATGACGACTAGGACGACTAGGACGATGATGATATGAATATAGTAATATATAGAGCATATATAGCAGTATAACAAGTATGCATATATAAGAGTGAGATGAGAAAGAGAGAAAGAGAGAGACAGATTGAGAGAGATTGAGATCAGTTACCATATGCGTTGTGAAACTGTTGATGATGCGAATTGTCGATAGTGCCGGCTCCGTGCTGGATATCCATCATTCCGTCCGAGTCCACGCTGCTGTTGCCGCCACCTCCGCCGCCGCCTCCTCCTCCACCGCCTTCGGAACTGTTGCTCAGGGCTAAAACCAAACCGATAGACAAACACCTTTTGGCTTGTTTTCCTTTTTTTTGTTTGTACTTTAAACAGCAAGTTTTTGTTTTTCAAATTCGATTCCCGTCTCGATTTATGGCAACAATTTAATTAAAGAAAAAAGAGGCACATGCGTACAACTGGAGTACGCACGTGTACTACCTTTTTTTCTTTTTTTTCTTTCGACGTACGATTGAACGTTTGTAAATCATATGATCAAAATTATATTCGTTCAGGTAATCAAATGAGAAAAAGGCAACAAAAAAATCTTGAAAAAAAATCACTCGGTTGCACACACTTTACAGGATAATATTGTAAATCTAAATTATAAATGTACATACATGATATATATATTACACACACGCACACACGAAACAAACTGTGAAAAGTAAATCAAACTCAAGGTAATGGAAAAAAAATGAAACGAGAGAGGGGTTAATGAATAGTACATGAAAACAAAAGATGGTGTCATTTGTAGTGAGCGTCGAGTATAGTTTGTACGAAATTTAAAATAATATAATAATAACTAGAGAGAAAGACAGAGAGAGGCAGGGAATAAAAAAAAACAATCATGTTCAATCGGGGTCCGAAATGCACGCGTATACGCGCATCGAAGTAAATTCAAAATCATTCGACTCGATTGCAGAAAAATTTTACATCATTTTAAATACATCGAGGACACGAAGTGCATTTGTCTATCCGTTTGGTTTTGTATTTTCATATTTTTTTTTTTTTTTTTAAGAATTTTGAAAATAAAAAGAAATACAAAAGAAAATAAAAATATGAAAAAAACCCCCAAGAACAACAGCGAGGACAGCGGACAATAACAAGCAAACAGCAGTGACGGTGACACGAGTATATAGAACGGAGAGGGTGGGGACCAAATAATTCGTGAAAAATTAGACCGTCATCTTCGGAGCAACGACGACGATGATTCGGTACCGCGGGATGATTATTTCGTTTTTGTCACAACGATTCAGCGCCTATCGTATACACGTTCGTAACTCGCCTATATATAATATGTGGCGCGTGTGTTCATAATATAGCACGCCTCTGTTATATAGGTAGTCTGTCGCGAGTCGCAGCAGCAACAGCAGCACCGCAAAGTGACCATATAACAAAACTATGCTTTCAGCCTACATCTGTTCTCGGTAAAACTGCTACGTCGAGAAAGTCGCTTACGCGCGCACACACACACACACATGCGCAATTATTAAACGTTAACTTGCGTCGATTGGCGCGTACGCGAACTTTCCTCTTTGTGCACAGTGGCAACAGCGGGGCAAAAGTATATACCACTGCACGTGGCGATGGTGTATAGTGGTGCGCGCAGCGTCGTATAATAATAATAATAACAATCGCGAACGATACGATCGCGCGCGCGCGCGGCCGAACAAATTCGTTTAGCCCCGAAATAATCAAGTACGCGTATAGACTCTACTTCCACTACATGCCGTTTATACGTTCTATAGTTGTACAGGTAGAGAGAGAGAGACAGTCCTGCTCTCTTAATTAACATCGGCTCTGTATATGAGTGCGTGTGACTCCGTATATGCGAGCCACCCGCACACAGTCGCGCATTGCGCAATTTTATATAGCCGAGAGAGCGAGAAGCCCATTTTATTATATATATCTTGGTAGAGGTGCGCTCGCACGCATTGTACGCGCGTGGCATACCGTAGTGTCAGTTTACTTTTATCGCCGATCACCTGCGTACTGCTGCACACGGACACGGACACACACCTACGCACGAGTATATACGCTAGTTGGCTAGCTGCAGGCCTCTCTCTGACTACTCTGCCTTATATTGTGTATATATACGTGTGCGCGGATGATCATTCGATACCGTTGGCCGATGGCTTCGTTATAACGTACGACTACGACGACGACGATCGCAAAGCTCTCTCTCTCTCTCTCCTGCTGCTGCTGTCGCTGATATTACTCTTTTCCTTCGCGAATACGTTCATTTCCTTTTCTTTTTTTTTCGTTTTTTTCATTTTTCGTTCGTCTCAAAAACGCACGCGCTTTCTCCCCCCGAGTCGCGTTACAGTTTGGCGCGCGTAATATTCCCGCCTATTTCTTTTTTTTTTTTTCATCTATCTTTTTATTTAGCTTCGCGCGCACACGTGCGTGTGTGTGTTTTCCCCGCTGCGTTTGCATGGGAAAACGTCGCTTCTCCACGCGCGCGCGAGAGAGAGACAGAAGATTTCGCTCGATTTTTCTCATCGATAAAAGCAACAAGTGCAGGTGCAAACCCGTCGGCTTCGGATTCTGGCGCTCTCTCTCTCTCTGCCTATATATACATCGTTTATCGACGAATCGTGACGTATACATATCGACGACGACGAGGAGAGCGTCGTGCGTCGCCCCCGCCCGATCGCACATGTGTCGTTGTTCGTTGGGTCGCGCGCGTGAAAAATCGGCATTTTCTCTCGGGGAGTCCTCGACGTACTTCCGAAGGATCCCCTGTATATATACGAGCAAGGACAGGATATCCCGAGGAAGTGCGTGAGCGAGGCGACCCGCAGGCAGGACTGCGGTAGCTACTTTAACATACATTATACATATATGCTACATATATGCGAGTGCTCGGTAATATGCGTGTGTGCGTGTACATAAGAGAGATAAAAGGTCTGTATGTGTGTTGTGTGTTGTGTCGAGTGCAGCACGACGACGACGAAAATGTGTAAGGCCTCGCTGCTACTCACGCGCCTACCTCGACCGACCGCCATCCCATCTCGAATTACCTGATGCGCGCTCGGCATGAAAAGCAACACCTTCGCAGTAGCAGCATTACATACGTATATAGCAAATACGAGCGCGTCTCTCTCTCTCTCTCTCTCTCTCTCGATGTACAGTTGCTACATTACGCACGTAAGAACGAGTATATTACGTCGCGACTGTCTATTCGTCGAGTTTGAGATTAATTATTGTCATCGTCCCGTGTCGATTTTTGCCTTTTCATTTTTTTTTTTTTATTTTTTGTCTTTCGTTCGGAGAGCAAAAGAAGAACGAGAGGGTATGCCCACGACGATACTCGCTGACGTTTGTTTTGCCCGGTGGATAATATACATATATTTCGCAGTTCGGTGTATGTATATATCGAGTGAAAAGACTAATGAAATGTCACGGTAAAGTTGGAAACTAGTCGAAGAGAAGCAGCAGAGAAAGAGAGTGAGAGACAATGCAGCGGCATCATCGAGGCAAAAAGGAAGAAGCAAAGAGAGAATCGAAGAATAAGGAGTCAAGGAAAGTCTAATCTGAAGGGTTGGCGAATATAGAGAGAGAGAGAGACTAGTAGTTCGCAAAAGAGAAAACCTCTTGGAAAGCAGCAACGTATTGTTTCGATATACAGGCAGTAGCAGCGAGTCCCAGAGAGGAAAGAAGAGGAGAGCTATATACAGGTCGCGAATAGTTTTGCTCCCTTATCTCTCTCTCTCTCTCTCTCACAGGGGGAGGAGGACAAAACTGTCATATTTTCCGTCTTTGTTTTCCTCGGTCTACGAGGATCTCTAAAAAGAGGCGATCGCATCGCGTTCGACGACGTATAGCAGCTCTCGCGATTTTACTCGTCTCGATCTCGCCAACGACGACGACGACGTCGACGACGGAGTTTCGTTCGGTGCAGCCAACAATCGCACGCGCAGAAAGAGAGAGCGAGAGAGAGAGAGAGCAATAATATTTTGAAAAAGTCTCGTAGCTCGTTGTGAGCTAATACACACTCACTCGCACACACACAGCAGAGCACAGAGAGTACCTGTGCTTTGAGAAATGGCTTTTTGTCTTGTCTATACGTCGTCGTCGTCGTCGTCGTCGTCGTCTCTATGTGTCTCTTTTGCCGAGTATATAGAGTGTGTTATATACGTGTGTGTGTGTGTATGCGCGAGGTCGTGACGCGCACCTCGTGACCGTAAAGCCGATCAATAAATCGGCGCCCGCGCTTATATATACTATATATACCTCGAGTTATGTGTATACGTATATATTTGCAACGAGGCGGACTCGAAATACTGCACGCGTTATATAGCGTATATACCTGTGTGATAATATAACGCCGAGGAGCACACGAAGCTTTTCCGTCTCTCGCATGTACGTGTATGTCGAGTAACCACCCGCCGTTTAGAACACGCGTAAATATACGTTATATACGCGACCGCAAAGGATAGCAGATATAGGTAGGTTGAATCGCGAAAAGTGCTGCACTGCACCCACATAAGCTATATAACGTTTGTATGTATGTCCTATGTGTAGAGTAGCAAGCAGCCTCTCTCTGGCTGGTTGGCGGTGCGTCTCTCTATCTCTCTGCACTTGTGTGTGAATGATATGGAAGGGAACGCCTCTCTCGGTCTCTCTCTCTCTCTCTCTCTCTCTCTCTCTCCACGTGGCCAACACGTGTGTGCAAAAGTACGCGCGCGTATATGTACGTACCGAAATTTTATCTCGCCCGCCGCAGCGTGTCGAGCTTTTTCGGACTATCTTTATCTATCGTCTATCTATCTATCTGCGTAGGTGCGAATCTCGTTTCGCGTCCGAAATCCTGCGGCGATTGCCGACACATCGATCGATCGATATAATGAATAGAGAGGAAGAAAAAAGCTCGAGAAATATCATAGCGGTTACGAGGTTAAGATTAGACGAGAGGAAAGTTTGACGTATGGATAGAACAGAGAGAGATAACGATCGTGATCATTTTGTCTTGGCCTCGAGATGCTATATCGATGCGGTGCGATGGATGAGAGAACAAGATGATGAGCCTACCACAATACGCTTTATTATATCCACTACGTACTAACCTGCCAGTCTCAAGGCCGACATCCTCTGGAACTCGGGCTCCTGCAGCCACTTCCACATGCGCCTGAAGGTCTCCCGGCCGCTCTTGAGCTTGGACCAGGGCTTGGGGTTGCGCAGCAGATCGCTGAGCGTGCCCTGACTCCGGCACAGCACTCGCTGGGCGAATATCGCCTGGGGTATGCTGTACCTCTTGAGCTCGGCGCTGATGCGCTGCGCCAGCTCCTTCGTGTTGATCTCCTCGACTTCGCTGCCGCCACCTCCACTGGAGCCACCACCGTTACTGGCGGCCGTCGCGGCCGCGGCAGCCGCCGCCGCTGCGGACACCGACACCGTCTTCATCACGACCGACGTGTGTTGCACGTGCTGCTGCTGTTGCATGTGTTGTTGGTGGTGCTGCAAGCTCGGCGGCGGCGACGAGGCCGGCCCCAGAGGCGAGTGATGCTGATGCTGCTGCTGCTGATGATACTGTTGCTGCTGCTGGCCGGGGCCCGGCGAGGGTGGCGACAGACCCTGGGGGCTCTGCTGCAGCCTCGGCAGAAAGGCCGGCTCGTAGCCGCCGTGGCCACCGGGCGGCGAGGCGGACTTGTGCGGCGAGTTGAGGGCGCTCTGGCTGTAGGCGCTCTGGGGCGAGAGCGGCGACGGCTGCAGACCACCCGGCCCTGCCCCGGGCGAGGCGTAATTGTGGGGCGGCGACATTCCCATCGAGGGCAGCTTGTCGTAGCCATAGGGCGAGCCGGCCATGCCGCCCAGGCCGATGTTGGCCAGGCCGTTGTTCTGCATGACGGCGAAGCTGCCGCTGACGTTGGACTGCGTCTGCTGCTGTTGACTCTGTTGCTGTTGCTGGCTCTGTTGCTGATTGGCGCTTTGGTTGCCGCCGGCCGAGGAGCCAGCGTTACCGGTCGCGCCGGCGTTGCTCGCGGCACTCGCGTGATGCGCCCCGTAAAACTTGTCGAACTTGTCGCTTACCGTGGAGATCGGCGGCAGCGGCTGCAGCGGCGTCAGGGTGGCGTAGCTCGAGCCCGGCGAGAAACCGGGCGGCGACATGCGCTCCGCCACGCTGGTCAGCGTCTGGTAGGTCGGCTCGGGCTGCATCGCCCGAAAATCGCCGGCGTCGATCATGCCGATACCGGCCGCCGACGAGGGCGATAGCTTGCCGATCTGTTGCTGCTGCTGTTGCTGTTGTTGCGATTGTTGATCGTCGTCGGGATCGTCGGTCGCTCGCGAGTCGCACTCGCCGTGCGACGTCTGCACTATCACTGAGGTCTGTTGATGGTGGTGATGGTGCTGCAAGTGGTGGTGGTGCTGCTGCTGCAAGTGGTGGTGGTGGTGATCAGTGGTAATGAGCTCTCGCTCCTCCTTGACGGGGCCGAGGGCGCCCGCGGCGAGCAGCTCCAACGGAATGCTCGCGCACGCGATGTCGGGGCTCTGTGAGGCCGACGAGCCGGACATAACCTCGGCCCCACCGCCGACGACAACAACCTCTTGCTGCTGCTGCTGTGGCTGTGGTTGCTGCGTCGTTGGCTGCTGCTGTTGCTGCGTTGGTGGTGGCTGTTGCCGCTGCTGCTGCTGGGCTTGTGCCGTGGGCGCCTGCTGTCTCGGCTGGAGGCGCGAGGAGCTTGCGTTGCTACCCCCACCGGCCGACTGCTGCTGCTGTTGGCTTCCAGCGGCGGCAGCGATCTGCGTGCCAGTGGTGGTGGAGGTAGGGCGTCCTCCTCCTCCGCCGTTACCACCACCACCACCTCCGGCAGTGGCAGCGGTGGAGGAAGAAGTCGTCGCGCACATGCCATTGGCCGGGGAGTCGGCGAGGGCGCCGGCGCCGAGGCTGCGCAGCTGCCGGCGAGTCTGTTGCTGCTGCTGGTCGGGTAGTGGCGCGTGCCGCGCGTCACCTGGGCCCTCCATGCATGTATCGCAGCCTTGTGTGTTATCGTGTACGCTCACGCAGTCCAGCGACGGCGGCGGCGGCACCACCGCGCGACGTCTCTATGATAATATCGCCTTCTTTTCTCTTCTTCTTGTCGGGTCGTGCGTGCGTGTTGTGTTTCGTTGCTGCTGCTGCTGTGTCGCTGCTGCAGAGAGACGCGTTATCCGCGATGGCACTGCAGCACCGATTCGCGGGGGGTATATACTCCGAAAAACACACCACCACCGACCGAGTCGACGCGCGGCAGCACACGCGTTTTATCGTTCGCGCTGCAGGATGCAGGCGGCGTGACCGTCGTCGCTCGCACGCGCGCGCGCTCCAAACAGCCGCTATTTATCGATTTTCGCAACCACCTTATAAGAGCTTTTCTATGTGTATGATGATCGGGGGTGGGTGGGGGGGGGCAACACTGCACACTCTCTCTATAACTGCACACGATCGAGAGACACAAACGGAGCTAAACTGCACTGGCACACACCACAGAACGTCAAAGTCAATGTCCCGCGAGCGAAGTATAGAGGTGCAACGACGACGACGACGACGACGAGCTGCAATGCGGGCTTCGCGCCTGGCGCCTGCACAGAGCCGCCCTCGACCGATCACATGCAGCACAGCGGCAGCGGTGCTAACTGCTTATGATCGACTCGACGAGGCCGGTTGATCGAAATGTTATTATCGTTGTCGTTGCCGAGCTCGACCGGCGAATTATTATGCAGCGCGAGGCATTCCGCTGCGACACTGCTACTAGCCCGCAGCAGCTCCGAGCTGATCTCGTGGTCGATTTAGCGATTGCCATAGATGACGATCGTCGTTGTTGCGTGGCTTCATTGCCGGGTGCGAATCAGTATACTATGCTAGTGGTGGCGTCGTAGCCGACGTCGACCCCCCTGGGATGCCATTTGGAGTCATCTCACTTACTCACTCAAGTCACTCGCGCGAGGTTTTTTACAGGTGCCCAATGTTGTGCATGGCCAGCTCGCACTTCTTTCGAATCGTCTATCTTTTTCTCGAGGAAGACGAGCACACGCACGTATTGTTATTATTATTACTGTATATACGCGACGCACTGCACGCGACTCTCTTCGTATATAACAACACAAGACACGCACTCTACAGCTCTTCCTCGATATTATCGCTCCAACGCCACTTTTTCTAATATTTGTTATTGTTGTTGTTGTTGTCTATTATGACTGCAGAGTAGTAGCACCTCGTGCAGCAGCCTGCGGGGGGGTTGCAGTAGCTCGATATAACAACACACAAACACACACGGAACACATGCACTGCTCCACCGCGTCTACGTCTCTCTAGCTCTGTTATGGATCACGAATCACCGCTGCAGGTCGAAGCTCTCTCGCTTCGACGCGCAGAGGAGGAGAAGAATTTCGATCGCTGCTGTCGACGCTGCCTCGCGCGCGCTCGCCTCGAGTCGATTGCTATTGCCAATTTCTCTCTATCTCGCTCTCTCTCTCTCTCTCTCCTGTATTATAAGTATATATAGAGAGACGTCGTGTATGCGCGCCGAGCCAAGCCGTATTCGGACGGGGTATAAAACGTGTGTATTGAGCGACAGCATCGATCGGACGATGCCAGGCTTGAGAGAGAGAGAGAGAGAGAAGCAGCACAGTAGCGCTCAGCACCACCACCACCGCCGCATCGTCATCATCCCCGTGCAGGCAGGCAGGCCAGCGAGACCTCCAGCAGTAGAAGCATTACCAACCCTCTGCGCCCATTTCTTGGTCGAGCTGCTGCTGCTGCGCCGTCGCGTGCACCCATACACGTTGGTAAATCGTACGTATATGTGTATGCACATGCACACGCATACAAGTACAAGAGGCAGAGAGAGAGACGACGTGCGAAAATGTTGAAAGGGGAGCGGAGCTACCCCCAATCGAGAGCGCCTGCGCGGCTATCCCCCTTTTGAACTGCTGCTGCTGCTGCTGCTGCCAGTGCCAACGCCGACTTTGCAATCGCGCAAAACGGATGTCTGTGTGCAGCACTGGCCAAGGGGTGGCAGCTGCTAGACAGCCACTACATACACACACACCCTAACGTATACGTATGCGTGTGTGCGTGTGTGTGGGTAAGTATGGCAGCTATACAACACGGCAGCGTCGACGTTGCTGTTCGATAAGGCCGATCAATGTCGTTTCGAATATGCGATAAGAGGAGACTCGGCCGAGTCGAGAGTCGAATGGAGCGCGGCTTCGAACGCTCGTTTCGATTATTTTTCCCTGCTGCTGCTGATGCATGTATAGACTATATGTACCCCTGTAGGTGCGCGCGCTGGCCGATCTCCGCTGCTGCTAAGCTGCTACTGGCTGCATGCTGCGCGGCGATTTCTCTATTATGATATAAAATACGAATCGCGGATACGATTTTACGCGCGCTCGCCAGATCCGCACGCGATTCCGGACAGTTATGTAGTTATCCTGGTTTACACATTAGCTTCAAAATTTCAGAAAATTTTTAGTTGTTTCTCGTTTGCCTCGGAACGAAACGGGGCGGACGACCAATAAGCACGGTAAACTACAACTGTATACAGCTACAAAACAGCCGGTCCAAGAAGTACAATAAGTGCCGCGCGACACTGGGGAGGCTTACAAACCATAACGCACTTCTATATGTGTGTGTAATATTTGTATGAAAGCGGCTCTGCAGGATCTTGCAAGAAAGCAAGAGAGAGAGAGAGAGAGAGAGAGTAGAGCCCAGTACAGTAACGAACTTTTATTATTCTTCGCGCGGTGTGCGTGCCTCTATTATATATGTGAATGCTAATATGTTCGGGTCCACTTCGAGTCGTACCCTCTATACATTGCACGTTTCAACAACAGCGCGAAGCACTACTTTTGACTCTCCTCTCTGATAATATACACAGGAGCGATTCTGGTTTCTTAACGAGCACGAATCGCGCGGTTATGCAGTCAGTTTTTTAAATATCTCAGAAAGACCGATTCATCTGCGATTTTTTTCGTCTGTTAAATATTTCATGCATAGCACTATTATTAACGCATTTGATCTTCCCTTTGGTCGAGTTTAAAGGGCAGCTAAATGCTGTAGCATTGAATCGTCATCACCGATGCCCAAGCTCACGCCAGCTGAGTCACGTATAAATACTATATATTGTATTTGTATGTATACGATCGGGAGTTTTTGAATCGGGCCGCGATCAAAGCAAATAAGGAAGGAGCACATGTGTCAGATGTCGCGTGCGTATATGACTCCAAAGAGAGAGAGATCTAAGCCACGCGAGTCTCGGACAATCTGGCGTCGAAACAAATCATTCGACAGATGAATTATCCTAATAAGTTAACCGAGTCGGAGTAGATCGCGGAGTGGCTCAGCTTTATTCGTGTAAAGGTATGTATCATCCGGTGATCGGCAAATATCCCTCACCCGAAGAATCGGTTGTTAAGTACGTATACATTACGATCGCCAGACGCTTTGCCGAGAAGAGTACCGATCCGTATCGATATGGCACATATTTAACTCGGATCGCTGGTGGTGGTCCTTTGATTAATCGACGTAGCGAGCGTATAGTACGTTTCACAGATCGAGCCCTACATATTGCTGCTGCTGCTGTTGCTGCTGCTTCTGGGCAAATACAAAACACACACACACACGCTTGTGCGCGTCTCTCTGCTGGGTAGTATGGGTGTATGCGTGTGTAGCTTTCTCTGCACGCTGCTACTGCTACGGGCAGTAGTCTCGCAAGCCTCGGTATTATACACACGCACAGACACGCGTCCGTGTTCGTGTGTACGTACGTATCGTATAGGGTGAGTTCAAAGATAGCTCGTGCGAGCAAGAAGCGAGGCGCGCAAGCAGCGGCAAGAGAGAAGGAGAATAATCGATAACAGCGACCGATAGGCGTGTGTGGCAGACGCGCGCCGAGCACCAGCTACATACACATGTGTGTGTGTTCTCTCTTTATTGTGTATGGGTGGCACGCACACATGTGTATAATATTACACGTACGCACACTTCCGAAGCACAACACACGAGACAGGCAGACTCAAAGTTTCTCACTCAGTCAGTCTCCGAGCTATATAGTATATGGGCTGGCGAGCGAGCGAGCGCGTGCATGCGTGCGAGCGACACGCGCCACCGATTACGACGCAGCTACGAACGAGCTATATAGCCGATTCCAAACTATCCGTCGTACTTCGTAGCCAGCTATGTATTACCCATATAGACTCCTGGTCTCTTGGCTTATGTGTGAATTATAATTGTGTGTATATATACTTTGTTCCTACCTGCATATATATCGTTGCGGGACAAATTAATGCACCTGAAAATTTGGCGAACGTTGAAGGGATGACACCTGCGGAATATTAAGCTAGAAAAATAGCGAGAATAAATTTCACGATCCAATTAGTATCGCGAAGTAAAAAAAGGCTCCGAACTCTCTCGCGACTCCGTTTCTTTTTTTTTGTTTCTTCACGAATTGATTACGCACACCACATCCGATTTCCAAAGCGCGCGTAGAATACGATGCCCTGTGCACCGATGGACTTGAAATCCGCGCGTTTGTTTTGCCGCGTGACGCATAAGTTCCGAACGAACAATAGTGCACTCGGCAAGCACTGACGTATCGAGGAAGGATTTTTTTCCTTTACGCGACGAGCCAGTGAATCATTGGGCAGAGAGGCCGATGTACATCGTACAGCACGCAATTACCATTTGTCATATTGAATATCAGAAAGGCGGGGGGATGAGGGGGGAGAACCGATCGTATTATCCGGACTCTACTGTGCAGTACTAGGCAACAGCAGCAGCCTATATATATGTAGCTGTATGTAGTGCAACGAGCTCTCCGTCGTCTGTGTATATAGCGATTATCGTACTTAAATACGGCCGAGTGACACGCGACGCTCCTCCTTGTGTACACATATATAAGTACCTACACACGCCACCACGACGACGACGATTCGTCCTTCGCACGTAAAAAAAAAAAATAAGTAAAAATGCGCGCTGCGACTTTGAGCGACGAAAAGTATGAGCGAGCGTTACAAACATATATTATATACGGGCTCGGTTGCGGCTGCATTTTAACTTCTGCGCCGCGTGGGTAATACGCCAGGCTGATGAGCAAGCGCGGACTTGATGAAAAAGAATACATAAAATGGGGGAAAAAAGGAGCAGAAAGAGAAGAGGTAAAGTATACGCGGGCGTGTAGAATGGAGTAGGAGAAACAAGCTCGAGGGTGGAGGTGATGGTGCGGCGATGGTCGCGTGTATGTATATTGCGCCCGATTTGACGGTGCACATATAATAAATTATTAGATAGATTCGTGGGCTTACACGTGTAGGTGAAAAATTTTAAATGAGATCTTACTTTGTTTTGAGAACTGTTACTGCAAGGATACGAGGCTCGATCATTTGAACCGATTTAAAATACGGTTTTGAATAGTTCACTTACATTTCCGTTACCATAATTTTTGCTAGCGGCTACATATGTAGGTAATAATATTTGTTTATATCTGACGTAAATATAATATCATAGAAGAGTAATCAAGAGAAATAATAGTTTTACAAATTAATGAAATAATGAAATTCATATCTGTAATAGGTTCAACTTACTTATTTCTAAATCATATATTTGGAAAAAAAGAATCATCGCTATTCCAAATTTGTTGAATAAAAAGTTTTTCAAAAAAAATAACAAATAAAGCAGAGTTTCAAACAAACATCACTATAAAATTCCGCCTCATATACATTTGTCTTTAATTAGATTTGCGCATTAAGAATTGCGTCAATTTTCTACCATTGTAAATTGACTCGGGCAATCAAACAATTTTATACGTGATCAAAGACGCAATCGAATAATCAACACGTCGTAAATATTAATTATGAACGTACAATAATGAATATTTACGAGCATTATCTAAACTTGATCGCGGTATCGAATCAATTCATTCAATTGACCATCGCAGAGCTCGTGTCAGTATTTGTAGCTCTTAATTGGTGACAAAAATGTTCAAATTTACGATACTGTTCGTAGTTCTCGTGGCTGGTAATGTATACATTTATACATTCTATTAAGTTAAGATATTCGTATTAAAGATAACATTTACCTTGAGCTCAGGTTGCTTGATGCTGTTGAATGACATCGAAGCTGCTAGTATAAAGACAAAAAATAAGTCGCGAGGAAAATCAAAGACCCAAAATAGGTTCATTTATCCCAAACATGGTCCAAACCCACCCGCACCCCCTCGAAACGCGCCGAACTCGTATATGAGGCAAAAAGTTGATCAATTTGGCACTGAATTGGCCAATAGTGTGGCTCGAGAAGTTGGCAGTCAAGCGGTCGAAGCTGCCGCCGATGCCATAAGGTCACCGTCGTGTTCCGATGGCAGTAAGTGCGACTCGATCTACTTTATAACAAATTGCATTTGCTCTGAGATATCAATGATGATTTCGTTTGTTTTTTTTTTTTTAACAGGTTGCTCGGGACAGCCCGCCGCCGACGGTCAACAGCCGCAAGTCCTTCCAGCGCAAATGATGAATTCACAGCAGAGATAGGATTTCTTTGACGAAAGAATCGAAGAATCGTTGCCTAATATTTTTAGTATTTAATGCATGTAAGATTAAGTTCATAGCTCGTACATTTGTTTTCCAAATGTATGCGGCACACGAAAGAAATAATTGCATGAAAAACTAATCATCGAATATCAATACCGATTTCTGTTGTCGTGGTTTAAGGGGAGCTCCGATTCCAAGGTAAAAATTACAAAAAAGTTTTCTAAGGTTTTCACTAAATATATGTTCCTTAATTAAAAGCTATTCAACGTAGTTTCGTAAAAAAAGTATTCAGTGAAAATTTCTAAACATTCTTGGCCTCGTTAACTTCCTCCACTGCACCTCTTACGACCTAACACTGAAGTTTTCAAAATCAAAACGTAAAAATTAGCCAACTTTTCGGTGCTTTTAAAAGGAATGAAAAAAGTAAAGGCCGATTTTGCACCAGAGCGAGGGAGATAAAAGTTCGTGCGTCGATCTGCCGTGTTTATACACAACATATAAGTGTACAATATGCAACATATGATCGACTGGTATACTATAAGGCAAGAGAGAGAGAAACACTGGGCGCGGGCAAAAGGGGATCAGCCCCACCTGCCACCAGGTGCGATGCGCCAAGCACACACATACATTTTGTATATGCACGGCTAGTGCTATACGTACGTATACCATAATGTAGCGTTAGTCGCGGCGACATCTGCATACGGGGCCGTAGATATATATGCGTGTAGACCATTACTAACGGCAGCGCAGGACTGTATACCTATATATATACTATTTGTAAGGAGTGGATATATGGTTATATCGCGACAAGAGTTAAAATAGGTAAGCAACAGCAGCTTCCGAAAGAGCAGAGCTACACACGGTGAAATTTATCCAAGACCGAAGGTAGTTTCGAATCAAGCTACATCAGCTGCAGCTTTGATATAAGTATACGAATGACCGATCCTTAAAGAGCACGACGACTCGTCGTCGTCGCGCGGCTTCTCGTACTTATACTTATTTACTTTTTTTTTCCTATGTATATCTATACTTACACACGAGCGTCGAGGCACTTGTTGAAGCAGCATCGATCTCCTCTTTGCTCGCGCGCGCCACTCGATTGGGAAATCGAGTACACATAACACAGGCGCGTGTATGAATCGTATATACCTACTCATCCTCATCCTTCTCCGCAAGCGTGCGTAAGAAAACTTTCGAAAATCTCGTATCTATACGAAGCACGCGACGCAATTGTCATTAGGATCGTGTACGTCTCGTCGCGATCTCCTTTTGATCCCTCCCTATACGCCCTCGACCCGAGTCCTTATAAGAAGCGTATACACATAAACACACGCACAAATACGCGTGTGTGCAGCTGTTAGCTGTCACACAGGTCAGCAGCAGCAGCAGCAGCACACGTATAGCCAATGGGCTCGGCTGTGCCACGCTTACGTGATATTATAAATTATGATTGCCGCGCGCGTTCCCCCCTCGACACCCTCCTGCTGAAATCTAATTTTCTGATTCCTCCTTTTTCTAACGAAGCGCTCGGTCGTGTGCGCATCTGCGACGGCTGCTATGCTGTTCCTAAATATCGTACGCGAAGAACGAGATTAGACAAAGAGATTCGTTTACTCTATCATATTTCTTTATTCAATCCGAGACTCGAGACTGGCTCTAACATTTTCAAATATATTCTATACATTTATATCACACGTACATGGCTTACAATTTAATCGTACTCGGCCCCGATGGTGATGCTTATGTCCTCGGAGACGATGCGGGTCTGATGGTACCACTTGTTCGTGTCCAGCACGACTTGAGATTAAAAAAGAGAGAAAATTTATCTTACGCGTGACTTCGTCGCGTCGCTGCTTATATTGTAACTCACTTATTTCTCCGGGCTCGACGACTATCTCGAGCCGCTCGCAGCTGTAGTGGCACTCGCGGGGTGGCTCCAGGATCCAGCGCTTGCGGCCCCTGATCTGCGCCTGCCACGACGGATACTCCACGTCGTCGACCTGTCGATGTTGTTGTCGTTCGTGATAGCCATCGTACTTTCGTTGGATTATATAGAATGTCTTATGTCTTATAAGGACTTACGTGCATGGGAGCACCGTAACCCGGACTACCCATGAATATCCAGTCGGTCCTCTCGCTCTCCGACGTGTCCGGCAGAAAGTACGGCCTGTCGTAGTGCCGCCTCAGAGTCGAGCCGATCGCCTCGTCGCAATTGCTCCTATATACATGCACAAATCCCCTAATCGTTACGCGACCTATAAAGAGCCTTCCCCAACTATCCACGTCGAGATACGAACCAGCCGACGTACCAAGCCTTGGCGCCGGCCTCCAGTCTGGCCCGACTCTCGCTCATGTTGAAGACCTCGCGCAGGCTGCGGAACTCCGTCTTGTAGGGGAAGAATTGACAGTTGGCCCCGCGCTCGCCGTACAGATTCTTGAAGAATTCGTAGGAGAAGCTCTGCATGGCGGTCCAATTGGCCGTGGCGTCGCTTATCACCACCGGCCGAGCGGAGTACGCGTAGCTGCGCGAGTTTTTTTCGTGTCATCACAGAAAAAAATGAAGAGAAAGAAATAATTGCTATACGGGGCGATTTACCGATCCTCGAATTCTTTGGGATGTATCTGCGATAGTCTGTCGATCCGATGCACGTCCTGGCAAATGGAGCAGTCCTGCGCTGGTCGGAAGATCTGTTTGGCCAGCGACGGTGATTCGATCAAGCACTGATTCAATTGCGATCGTGAGAAATCAACTCGTTCGAGATGGCGGGGGGAGAGAGAAAATCGACCAATTTTATCTAAAACTCACTTTATCCCGATCCAAGGTGCGATAGTAGTGAGCCAAGGGCCTGTACGACATCGTCAAGAGCGCCACGGCCAACAGGTAGCAGGATAAACGTCGGCGACGATCGGCCGAGCGGACGATCGGCTTGAATCTCCAGTGAGCTTTCGACAATTTGTAGCACTTGATCAACGCGATCGATTTGGAGCTATCTACTTTGCGGATCACGTTCTCGAGCTCGCGTCTCTTCTCGATCAGAGCCGAGTTACTGCTGCTGCTGCTGCTGCTGCTGTTCGCGCTCATGTTGCACGAGTCAAACTGCAGCGATACGAGCGAGGACACTTCTTCCCAGCCGCAGCGTGTATCCGCGGCGAGGATAGAAGAGAGACGCATCTGCCGATTTAATGCAATTTTAAAACTCGCAGATAGCGAGAGAGAGAGCCCATCGTCTGGAAAATTGGAAATCTTTTATTACGTGGCGTAGTTCCCGGAGAGAGCCTTATCGACGCGACGCACACGCTCGGCAGCAGCTGCAGTTTTCGCGCGCGCGAGCTCTCTTCTTCTCTTGCACTTGGCTGGACAGCGTGATCGAATATACCGATCGTCAGTGAAATTACAGGTGCATTGTAGTAGTACACAATAAAAAAGACGCTGATATAATATGCTTGGATATATTTATACGGTGATATAATATAAACGTCATGTTGAAATTTTTACAAATAAATAAATGTTCACGCTCGAGTGTGTGTGTTTGTGTGTTCGCTATAACATTACAATGCATACGAATAGGTATCTAAACAAAAACTTTCATTCTGTTTTAATTATGTATATACGATATAATTAGCATCGTAGGTATGTATATAAAAATGTGTTCTTTCAACATTCACTACTTCGACTCTTGCGCTTTCTTTGATAAAATTAATAATAAACAACCGCCCAATAATTGATTCTGTACATTGCTGTATATTATCTCAATATTTTTATACAGTTTTGATAAAACGAAAAAAAAAGGCGAGTGGAATGTGTAGCATTGCGTTTTTTTCTTCTTCTTCTTCTTCTTCTATTTGTTGCGTATTCCCATTCGCGAATCAGGGTTTCATTAAGTTTATAATATTATAATTAATGTTATTCGAGTTTATAATCAGTATTTGCAGGTGAACTACGAGAGTGAAAATTCGGTGTTGGTGCGAAGCACGATTACGCTCTAAGTGGCGAGTTTGTTATCTTTTTTTTTTTTGTAATATTTCGTTTGCGTCCCAAAGAAAACTTTTTCTTCTTCAGTTTTATCAATATAGTATCGCTTTGTTCGATGTTTAAAGTATCGTTAACTTTTTTTTCTCGTTTTTTTTCTTTATATAGAAAATGTATCAAGTTAAAAATCCGCAGTAAAATGACTTTCAGAAATATTTTTTTGTTGCCGATAAGTTATGAATTCGTATTTATAAAAAATTGATATTTGACTTGATTAGTGTCTAGAATTATTTTTCGATTAATTTTTGCTTTTCTCTATCGGACTTGATTATGTTCACTTTTTTGCAAATACTTCTTCTTATCTTTATATCATAACCGAAAGAGAGATAAACTTTGTAACATTAAGTCTATTGTACATAAGTTGAAAGCAGTCTTTTTTTGTAGAAAAATTATAAACATAGATTTTTTTACACAAAGAAAAAGCCTTATAAAAAGATTGGATCACAAGTGTAAAGGGGTGTGATCAGTCCACAAAATCGATTTTCATACCAACCATTTCATGTTCATTAATGCTCACTTTATAACTTGATTTTGTTTCTTTTTTTCTATCATATTTAGGTATTTTTACAGTCCAAAGCATCAGTATAGGAGCATTCAAGCTTTTAAAGCTTTAATTCATTCAAATTCGCATTTTATATAACTTGTTAATACTTGTTTTATTTGCGACGGGGTTAAGTGCGAATCATAGGTGATAGTCGAAAAATGTGAATATAATAAATAACTGCTCAAGTATGTAAATCGTCTAAAAATTTGTTGTCAGATTTTTTTAGGTCGTAAGATTTGTTACATAGAACTCGAACTTGAAAAGTCGATGCATTGATCTTTATCACCTCGCTTAATTTCTTATAATACAACTGTGTCTATTTTTCATTCTGGTTCATGTTCTTAAAATCTAGATATATCATATATTCATGTTTATACTTCATTTAAAATTGGTTTTGGTGCACGTAATAACTTCTCAAACCACTCTCTATTTTATCAGAAAACCTTGTCCCCGATTTTTTTATTTCATTTCTACTTTTTTTTTTCATTTATTTTCTCATATCACTCGATAAAAAAAATTCGTGGAAACTCTCACAGAGACAATCGGCATCTGACGTTTTATCTAATTTCGAACTTTAAATTATACACGCCACACTTTCTCACCCTCTTTTCTTTCAATACTAACAATTAACTCAAAACATCTACCTTAGGATTTTTCGTCATATTCGATAAAATTCTATGCAATATAATATATATTAAAAATCAGTTTCAACGAAAACTTATTTTCATCTGCTTATTTTCTAAACTTCCAATATTATACTACGCTACATTAAATAAAAATCCTCTCTTGCTTGGTATCATTTAGTTAGGTTTTTATATCTTTTATAAATTGACGAAATGTCTTTAGTACATTATGGACACAGTTTTATATGCAATGTACAAAATCACACTTTTATTTATTTTAGTTGATGTCAATACTTATGTCTCAATATTATTCATTCATATGATCAATGTCAACTAATCATAGTAATAATTTTTCATTCCAGTAATCACTCATAACTACTATTTATAATATATAATATTATATTCAAGAAACGGAACGAGATTTAACTTTATATGCTTTATATATATAGGCATTTTATTCTTTAGTATCTGTCATTAATGCCGATAATACATGTACATCTTAAAGTATATTATATAGAAATCTTTCATCGCCAAAATTAACAATAATATTAAAAAGCTACTCGGTTATTTCTTCCTCACCGTTCGTCTAATAGTAAGCTAATAATAATATGTTCGTTTGAAATGTACAAATAAATCTCCTGTATACGATTTTTGTCGTTTTACATACTAGTATGTTTTAAATCTGTGATTACACTCATAATCATGAAAATGAAAAAGTCCTGTGTACATGCATATCATTTTCCGCTTTGAACAGCACGAATTACACAATCTGTGGCGTGATAAATTGTAAAATGTTACAATACTAAATGATTCGCGACAAGTTACATCCACAACTATTCAGTACGAAACGATACACGTTACGAATCGTTCGTTATACTATTGTAGCGCTCGTTGTGGATTTGATACATGATATCAATTACAAAGCGAGCGTGACAAGCATTTTTGATCTATTGGTTACACGATTTAGTAAATACACATAAATTAAAATTAAAATTCCTACATCAATCATTTTACAAATGATAATTCGTCGCTATTAACAATTAAACGCTTGCAAATATTTTGCATATGTGTTTTCGTAAATGAAAAGTGTGTACATGTATTGTTATGTTTAATATTCGTACAATCTCTATCTATATATATCATATAATATATACCATATTCGAAAGTGGATATATATATTTTTGAATATGTGTTTTTGTCCATAAATATATTTATATAAAACGCAGGCTCGTCCAGAGAGTAATTATAAGTGATAAGGTACGTATTACAAACGCCGTTACGATGTGTTTGCATTATTAATAATTTATAATATACATATAAACGGTGTTTAAAATAAGAGCCATGCCCTTTTTTCTGCTTGAGCATTTCTTTTGTGGCTCGTCAATAATATGGCTCATCGGAAAAGTCATTTTACTTTCTACGCGTGAGCGTTCCGTGATGATTGAGCGTCGCCCCGTGTTGGGGCTGCTCGTGACGCTAGACCCAAGAGTCGCCGGCTGGTGCCGTGTTGCTCGGCTGCACCTGATTAGCTGCGCCGTCTTGGTTCCCGTCGGCCAGCCACTGACCACCGGCCACGGCTCCGCCCGCTGCCGCGGCGGCTTGACCTTGGCCTAGCTCGTATTGCCTTTTCTTTTTCTTCTCCAAATTTACTTGCGCGTAGAGTGGTTCACCGGGTTTGGGCTGCTGCAACACATACACAAGCACACCATAATATGCTTTGCAACTGACTTCTCACTGTTGGTTTTATTTATCCCGCAACCATAAGGAGATAATGTTTTTTCTAATGAGTATGTTATGCGAAAGAGTAGCGTGAGTTTGAAAATATTTTAAGCCCGATGGCAAGGGGTTGGACCAGGAATAATTTTTTATCTTACCCGCCTTGATCAACTCGCCTGGCCATATACAATACAAGATGCCAAACATAAATTAAAGTGGTGATGAAAATAAAACATAAAGTATGAAAAAATGAAAGTCTGAATATCATGATTAATTACAACGTCGTCAAGTAATAATTATTCTTTATTCAATTTCATGCTTGATCATTTTAGATTTTATTTAACACAATACATGATACATAACGCATTAGATGTTCTAACGTATTCGCTGGCCAAATAATTGCTTCACTAATCTCTAAAATATTAATAATTTTTAAAAACACCATTTTGTCCATTTTGAATACAAATAATATGATATAATAATTTACCAGTACAGTAAAACCTACTTAAAAAACCTAATAAAATATTATTAAAAAAAATTATAAAATAAATTCATAAGTTTTTAACTTGTCACCTAAGCTTAAATTGGATTAAAAAATCTATAAGCATGATTTCAGACATTATTTCAACGTGATAATAAAACTATTGATCAATTAAAAGTTTGTTGCCATGGAAACATACAGTGCTCATGATGAAGGCCACAATATGAATTCGGACGTAAAAAATGCTTTAATGAAAACCTTGTTTGAATTTTAATGATGAATAAACTTTCCAACAATCAAACTATCTCTTTGTATATTACACAAAGTTTACGATCTTTATATGACCCAGCTCACCAATACATGAATTTACATTAATATAAATTATTATATTGATCATGAAGCAAAGTATGATTTTTAGTATTGCTATAATATGTGTCATTGCGATCAACTACATTATATCATACATTTACAATGAGCAAAATTATATCTCAAGAATAGAGATAAACATACCATAAGTCCTCTAGTTACTAAAATTTCATTATTTTATCAAGTTTCTAAATTTCATCGCTTATGTGCAATTAGATTCAAATTATCGATACAATAAGTACCGTATTGTTTTTAATGAAGATTATACAAAAAATTATGTAATGTAAAATTTAATCGCGCTAGATACCACCATGGATAGTTTTAGAAGTATGTATTTCGACTAATCACGTGTGAAAAAACTCGAGGTTTTTACTTTAAGCCATTACATAAAGACGAAACAACGACCAAACGCAACTTTTAGTTTACTGACTTACTGGATTCGTAGGAAACACGCATACGCCACCAGCAGGTACTGCGTGACTTCCTTGTTTTGGGTACTGCATATCGGACATAGCGATCTCTTCATTTTGTTGCTATCACAAACAGACAATATCAAACATTGTTCTCATTCAATTTTATCTTTACCGTCTTCAATGACTTAAAAAACACACAGAAATAATATATACGTGGTTAGTCGAGCATATTGGAAAAGCTGTCAATGGCTAGGCGAGTTATTTCGTTAATAATTACATGAAGCATTGTCATAAATTAAAGTTTTGATTAAAATTATAGCGTCATCATTATTAAATATTTTTAATTAATGTGGCTGTGTTAATTTCTATAGTTTCTGTGATCTTGGTTATTTGTGTCCCCTTGACTTACCGATTGATAAATATTCGGTCGGCCAACATTATTTGAGTTTGCAGTACTTCTCTGAATTGTTCTGTCTTCGTACCTCGTACTGCCTTGGCTTGCCATAGGTCGATTCAGCGTACTGCAATCATAACTATAATTAAACGTAGTATTACGAGCTGTATTTTTGTTCGGGACTCTTCAAAAAATATTAAAACTCAACTAAAAACAATATTGACAATTACAATATGGTAAAATAATAAAAAACAAGAGTCCCAAATAAAAATAATCAAAATTAAACCATGTTTACTGTTCAAATTAAATAAAAATTGAAAAGACATAAACTAGTTTGAAAGACCTAACTTTGAACTTACCTGTTGGCATTGTTAGGCGAATTCGGGCCTGAATTTCTAGCTGCAACCGTTTTTGTTACAAAATCTTGCTCTTTCCAGCCATGTTTTTTATACACGTCTCTCAACTCTTGATGCTGCCACATCGTAAATAATACTTGACCTAATCATAGGATTGTATTAATATTTAAGTGCAAATAGGAAAATAATAAAGCAATAATCAAAATATTTACCGGCAAATTTCAAGACCCTTGGTGTATATTTTTGTCTTTGTCTAGTTATGTTCATCAGTCTTTCGACACCACCAGCGTCCAAAAGCGACCTCGAAAACTCGGCATTTTTCTTAATTACTTCGTTCAAAGTCGCTAAAACAGCAGCGATTGTATCGTCACTGGTGCCTTGGTCGTGTTGATTATTTCCTGAAGGCAATTTCTGAATGAGATCCCTCATTGCATACTTTCCTATAAGCTCTTTGTTACGTTGGTCTATGGCTAAATTTCGCAGGGCCGTTGCTACTGCGCAAACTACTCGGTCGACCTGTAATAATGATATTAAAATGTATTAGCGCCTTAATAACAGTGAATAAATACATTGAATTGAAATCATAATTTTTACTCACCTCCATTCTCAAAAGTTCAACAAGAATAGGAAGTCCTTTTTCTTTTCGAACCGCTGCTCGAATTTCTATGCTGGGCTGCCAGTAGCAAGCAGCAAGATTCTGTAATGCTCCAGCCGCTGCTTCAAGAGTTTCTGGATTCGAACAGTTGTGCAAGAGGCTTAAATAAGACTGGACTACTTCGGGTTGCCAGAGCAACTCCATGCCCTTGACTGGTTCTGTCCTCGGACTCGTAGTCCTAGTCATACTCGTCTCCTTTTGTACGGGCTGTCCATCCTTTTTCTTTTTGCTGCCACCGAAGCATCCCAAATTCTCACCTAAAAAAGTCAAATTTATTAATGATTGATCTAAAAAAGAACTCGCATGTAAATCAAACGGTGCAATGGCACTGTGGATTTGTCTTAATAAAATACTCTGCTCTTAAATTGATTGTAAGCGATTTTAAGCGTTGTATTGGTGATATCACGAATATTGTGGTAAAAATTTCAATTTCATATAGTGCCAAAGTAACAAGATTCAATCGCTTGTAAAAAAAATATTCAGCGTTTAATTACGACAGATTGTCTCTAGCAAACTTGGACAAATGTGTCTTACCTTGACACAAACTGTACGCTATGAGAAAATTCAAAAGAAAGATTTAATGAAAATTAAAACAAAAGAAGATATCGACGGTATTTGAAATTGCAGCGTGAAGGAGCTGACGTTTTTACCTTTAGCCGGTGCGGCGACCCTATTTTGCACATTGGGCTGAATGGGATGCTTGTCGTAATTGGGATCCTCGACCTCTTGGCATCTGTAGCTGAGATTGCGCAGTATGCAGACGCAATTCTCGACGATCTTGTTGCCGATATTGGATTTGTCGATGGCCGAGCGCACGACGTAGAGCAGCGCGTCCACCAGTCCGTCGCATTCCCGCAGCTTCTTGCGCGCGTACTCCCCGGCGCTCGAGACGTTGCGCAGCACGCCCGAGGCATTGCGAAAGACCGTAGACCAGCAGGTCTCGCCGGAGCCGGCGCTGGGCTCCCAGCCGCTGTGCGGTATGATGATGTTGTTCACCACCAGCGTCACGCCGTCGTCGATGATGGACTTTTTGAGATCCTCGCAGGACGACAGGTTCCACAGGACGCCCGTGACGAGCTCCTTCACGTCCGAGTCCGAGATGCGCCGCAGCAGCGCTATGAGCGCCGGCACGCCGCCCGCGTTCTTGATGGCTCGCTTGTTCTCGTCGTTCTGCCGTCCGTACGAGAGATTTCGCAGAGCGCCGCAGGCGTTCCGGTAGACGTCGGGGCTCTCGGACTGCAGCAGGGCCACCAGCGGCGGTATGCCGCCGAGGCTGCGCGTCTTCTGTTTGTTGGGATCGTCCATGTAGCAGAGATGCTGCAGGTAGGCCGCCGCGTTCGCCTTGATGACATTGTCGGGATTGCTGAGGAAGCCGATGACCTCGGCCAGGGTCGGATCTCTCCAGCGCATCTTCTGGCCGCCGCCGGGCTCGAGCTCGTCGAGCGGCGACACCATGCCGGGGCCGGGGCCCATGTGCCGCGCGGCCTTCAGTCTCTGCAGGTGCAGATCGTCCTCGTAGATGCTTGCGCCAGCCATGCCGACCACGACTCCGTCCTCGTAGCCCGGGCCCAGTTCGGCCGCGAGTCCTCCCATGCCTGCGGTGCCGTAGGTCACCGGACCGTAGGGCGAGGGCGACACGTAACCGTAGGCCACTTTGCCTTCGTCTGTAATAACGCAAACCCAAATTTTGTCAGTATTGCTCGTAGGCGAGCTCATCGCGCACTGCAGGCGCAGAGCAGCACTGCTATAAGTAACGCGTCGAGCGATGCTTACCGATCGGGTGCTGCGACGGCTCGCCCGCGTCGTCCATGTTCCACGAGTTGCTAATTTGATCTAAAAGAGCAGAGAGGTCTTGTTAATGCGCGACTGCTAATTCAAGCTCTCGGCTACGTAATCCGAGTACAGAAGGCTCGTTCTTTTTTTACGTGCTGCAGCTGATCAATGAAGGACGCGATTGCAAATTAAATATAAATGAATGGAAATTTGAAAGCAAAAGAAAAAAAACATTCTGTAACTGGAGATCATATGATTCGCTCTACTGCTACTTCAAATCCTAGGATCAATATGACTTTACAGTCGTTAATTCAGAATTGTAGGTTTCAACAAAATATAACGATAAAAATAGACAACTAATAAAAGCACTTATCTGACACAGTAATTGTTGACTGTTAAAGTTGACTGACGTTACAATAAGTAATTATAATTAAATTTTTGAGTTGAAATATAACGTCTTGTAGAGAAAGACGAGTCGAGCGAAAAATACGACGAGCTTTTTGCAAAAAGAAAAGAGTTGAAAGGATGGATTAGTTAAAGATTAATCAATGATTAATGAGTTTTAATAATGAATGTAAAAATAAAAAATAAAAAGCATTTGCGACGTACCGTGCGGGGTTAGGGGCGAGGCACGACTGTGCTCCGAGGGAGTGGGATGGGGGCTGCGGGGCGAATGAGGCGGATTAGAAGAAGTAGGAGTGGGCGCTTGATGATAGGTACCGTGAGGCGCCGGATAGCCCGGCTGCGGCGGATAGCCCATCGAGTACGGGTCGTAGTGGTCGAAATTGACCATGTAGGGATCGGCCGCGACGCCGTAGCGCGGATCGCCGGCCGCCTGATGATGATAGTCGCCCTGGGACATGAGCGGCATCGTGACGTAATTCACCACGCCTGGATCTGGCTCCATGTGCGACACCTCGCGCACGACTTTCGTCACCGTCGTCACCTGTAAATGTGTGTGCAAGAGAGACAAAATCAAAGGCGTGTTTTGTTAGCTCGAGAACATATATCTATATCATCGAGTGTGTGTGACGCGGCGGCGTCATGTGTGTATATACGAGAGCGATGTTTACCTGCTGAGACGTCTGCTGCTTGTGGCTCCTTATGAGTAGAGGATCGTCCTGCACCGACAGATGCGACGAGTGTATGGAATGTGTATCTGCTTGTCCGTTGCTCCCGTGATAATCGCTTTCACCTTGTCCCCTGCGCAAGTAGATACAAAAAAAAAAAATGTTACTTCAATCTTGGCGCGTTCTCGGGTGACTTCTTTCTTTCTTTTTTTTTCGTTTGATACAAAAAGAAGTCATTAAGGTTTATTTGTTTGCTTACGTGTATTGCGGCATGTCTGATCCGTTTTCGTGAAGTACTCGTCTGCAAATAGCAAAGATTAATTACTTCGTTAAATACGTCTCTTTCTCGATTGTCACACGTCGATTTTTTGCTGCTGTGCTTTTCTCAACAAAAATTCGATTTTCAAACTTGTACAAAAGCTACTTCTGGTATGTATTTATCAATAAAATAGAGAGATACGTGGTATACTTCATTACTTTGACATATCGTTACTCATCGACAGTGCGTGTTTTCATACGAAATTCGTGATAGCGACGATTCCAAAAATGTACCACCACAAAAAACGACAGTGTATTTACTTCACAAACGACGAGCTACCATCAAAGAGGATAATATGCGACAAAATTAAATACTCTTAATCAATTGCGATCACAGATACACACACACACACACGCACAAGTAATACTCCAAATCGACTGATACATCACAGAGGCCAAGAGAGGCGCAGATCAAACGCAGAAATCGTCTGATTAACGAGCTACTACTGTATTACTTCAAACAATAATAATGCCGAGAATGAGGAGAAGGAGAGAGAGGATAAGAAAAGAAGGAGCTGCGAGAGATAAATATTTACTTAAAAGCTTTGCGCGGGGCTCTTTAAACGACGAACAACGGCCTTGCGTGGTAGGAAAATAATTACGACACACATACACAACTGATTCATTGTACGAGATTGCACTGCTTTTTTTTTGTGCTCAAACATAAAATAGCACACGCGACTAAAAATTGAAGAGGAAAAAAGGAGCAAGAAAAAAAAAGTAAAATAAACTACAATAAGGAAGCAATTATCCACGCATCTTTTGTATTTGGCAAATGTAATCTCGCTCTCTCACGCGATAAAAGTACAACAACAGCAACGAGAAAAAAAAAGCTGTGCCGCATAGTCGCCGAGATTTTTCGTTGATACATTATATAGAGCAGACGCGACGCTAATGTGCATGCAGAGTAGTACAGTGAGAGATCTCGAGCTCCAATGCTAGAGAGAGAGAGAGAGATAAAAATCATATTATATTATCAAAGCTCGCTAAATACAAAGCTCGCGCGCATTATAATATAAAAGTACAAAATACAACACAAGCAAATAGAGAGAGAGATGCGCGCGATATACACAAGGACAATTTTCTATATGTAAATTTTTGTTCGACTTTTTTTTTTTGTTTCTTATGCGTTTAGTCACCTCTGGGTTATTTCGGTGCGTGTGATGTTGTGTTCTTGCCGCTGCTCGACCCGCCGGTTCACCAGCCTATTTCATCGGCAACACCGGATTTTTCGGTTAAGTATATCAATTTTTTTGGTTTTTTCTTTCTTTTTTTTTACAGATCATCGCAAGTATATAATAATAAAGGAATAACAATGGCATAACGAACAAAGACAAATTATACTCACAAGCAAGAATCAACGAGATGATTATTTGACATGCCAAAGGCTGACGAAAGGTTATTGCGTAAAACTGCTGCTGCTGCTGCTGTCGTTGCTTTCGCTTCTGCCTCTGCTGCTCCTGTAAACGACAAACCAAGAGGAGAAATTAGACGTGATAATATGTATATAAGCTCAACACTGTGCATATAAACAGGGAGTACCGCGCGGGCGTATTTGTCTTATGGCTGTTAGGCTAACACTTTAACGCAATAAACATTCTTGGTGGTGTAGGCGTCAACGGTGGCGGCGGCGGCGGCGGGCCCTCTCGAAAACGCGCGTATCCTCTCTATATAGCAGTGGCAGCCAAGCTTCAGAGGCACTCGGCTATATAAGAGCAAAGCGAGAAAGGGAGGATATAGAGGCAAGAGGCAGTGAGAGAGAGAGACGACTTAATTTACACTCCGTATAGAGGCTGCTGCTGCTGCAACTTCTCTCGTTTTCTCTCAATGCGCCAGCATCAGCTCTCTTCGCAACGTTCAACAATATTCCATAAGGGAGAGAGAGAGAGACCGACTTGACTCTGCGCTCGAGTTTATTCATCGTCGTAACGTATAATATATAGATCGTTGTGCCCTGTCTCGATAAACCGCAAAATAGAGAAGCCGAAAATTGTTTTAGAATCTTTTTTTCTCTCTCTCTCGCTTCTTTCAATTGTTTTTTAATTATCGAGCTCGCTCGAGCTTGTTCTAAAATACCTAAAATTGCGTATTATAAATGAAGGGAGAGAGAGAGAGAAAAGTTTAAATAGGATGCGGCATAGAGTGACGGTGTCGGTGTTGGTGGTGGTGGTGGTGCGTGGGTGCTGCTCGTGCAAGAGCGTATATACCCTATGCAACGCGCGCACACACAAGTGTCGGAGGTTTAATTTTCGCAGCAACATCGCCCGCTGCTGGTTTAGCAGTTAATTGACTTTTGCACCAAAGAGAAACACGCACACACACACACACACTGTGCTGTGCGTATAATACTACATACACGCGAAGCTCTCCTCGTGCTGCGGCAGTAGCTGCAGCAAGAGCACTACAAAGGAGAAAGTGAGACCTGCTAGGCTACTATACGAGCGTGTGAGTTTCCTCTTTGTTTTTCGATACGTTATATGTAGGATAGGCGTACCGCTAGGCCCGAGCATTAAGGATCGAGTCGTAAAAATTTGGAGCGACCGAGGAACGTATTATAACGAAGGCTCGTCTCGGAGCAAAGCTCGAAAGACGCGCTTACAGCACGTTGTACGAAAGAAATCATGCGCGCTTGAAAATTATAGGCGCGACGCGGGTAATAGTCGCAGAGGAGCGCGCGATTCGCGCTATGCGACTGCAGCGCAGCGTGCATGGAACTGGATGCGCCGCTGCTGTGCTCTACGCGAGCGGAGATATCGTGCGTACTCTCCTATATAAAACGAAGTACAGAGAGAGAGAGAGAGAAAAAATAAATGCGAAATGCTCCTGGACTGTGAAGCGAGACGGAATGCGCACCGAGCGGTGTTGCGCGCCGAGAGCCAGAGCTCCTGGAAATTCAAAACTACCCGGTTAGAGCAACATCTCTCTCTCTCTCTCTTGCTCGTTGTATATAATGAAACGACACGAAGCTGCATTTTGCGAGAAATTATTTATATATACATTGACCGTCGTTTTTTTTTCTTTTTCCTTTGCCCGTCACACATATACGTATATACGTATAATATGCGTGCTCCGCGGCTCTTGTGGGATATAGCTATTAGCTGCACGTGACACACTCCGCACAGAGTACACAGCAGCAGGGCATAATATTGCACACACACAGGAAAAATAAGGCATTAAAAAAATCGACGTTTCTTTATCTCCGCGCACGAGAGTCAGAGTTTAAGCTCGTATATGCGCGCGTCTATACATGATTCATTCCGGGCCCGGTGTATTATATACACACACGCACACATGGGCTTTTGTGCCGCGCTGCCTTATCAGCCACGAGTTTTGCTCTTTCTCTCTCTTGACGCACCACCACCGGCAGAGAGAGAGGAGCGCGAGTTATACACACGGCACGTGTATAATAATAATCGACTCGGTATGGCTCACTGTTACAACAATGCCTATACTCGGCTGCTCTCGCGCGTATGAGTCGAAAATTTATTATCGCAGTACGCGCTATATCGTCGTCGCGTTGGTGTATCGACGACGACGCCTAGAGTAGTACAGGTATATTATAATATAAACACGAGTACGTGCCGCACGAGCACAATGTATGTATACGACGTGCGCCGATTCGATGACGAGCGACACAAGGAACGCAGCAGCGGCACAAACGTAGCTCGCTCTAAAATGAATGTAATCATACTTTGCGGGCTCGCGCACGATATACGTATATCGGGAGCGAGTGTATACTATACGTGCATATACATATCAGCTGTATAATATAGTTTAATATATAATTGCATATAATCGTCTGAGCGCGCGCGCGTTTATGTATGTGGAATTGCGACGACGCCGACGGAGACAGAAGCGGAAATGCGATCCTCGCACATTCGTTCGTATTATACAGCGGCGGCAGTGCAGACCCACACAGTGGCGCGATTGATTTGCCAGCGCGCGCCTCACACATTTAAATACAAAGTCTGTCGGGTCAATTATTGTTTATTAGCTCTCTCTCTCTCTCTCGTTGGGGCCGTATATATATAATACTTTACAGAGATATATATATACGTTGCACACATCTCGGTAAAGATAAACGAAAATCAATAAAAGCCTCGCGCGCGCGCGAGTTCTTGTACGCAGAAAGCTCGATGACGAGAAATGAATAAATAAAATTTGAAAGGAAAAAAAAAGGAAGAGGAGAGTACACGCAATGCGCACGAAGGGGGTCGAGCTTTAAATCAATCGCATGTGCCGGACAAAAAGACCATATAACGTATATACGTATACGCGCACGTGCGCGCTCGCGCGAGGACATTTTTTTTATCCTCCCTATCCGCTCTATACCTCTCAGTCTCTCTCGCTTATTCGGCGCTTTCCTCTCGACGCGAGCGCGTATACTAATGACCCGTGCAATTAAACTCCAACAATAAAGTCTTTAATTCCTCGCTAGCTCTCTCGCTCATACTTCATTAATGAAAATCTTTCGACACCCATACGTACGCCGGTACGCTGCAGTGTGTACACACTGTCTTACACAAGCTTTATACATCGGATATGTGTGTATAATACGAGTCCGAAACATTTAAACTTCAATAGCCGGGCACTGATCGCGTAATTTTCTATGCGTACAGGTATATGTTACTGAACAAACACACGGGCGACACGCACACACACACGTATACGAATGCATAATACGAACGGTAATGGCAAAGCCGTGAGCGAGTTTCGTCCCGCGCATAGTATTTCTATGTTATAACAATATATATATATATAAAAACGAGAAGAGAAAAAACAGTTAAAAAGAAAGAAAAGAAATGAAAAAAAAACAAGAAAAACACAGCCGAAGAAGAAAGGAAGGTGTGCCTATTGCGCGATGGCCCTTTTGTGTTAGTTCTAACTGTGTATGTATACAGAGAGAGAGAGAACCTTATATAAAAGCCGCGCGTGTAACAGCGACGGTCAAAGGTGCACATGCACATCTCGCTCTCCGTTACTGTGTGTGTGTGTGTGTGTGTGCGTGTGCGGCTGCGGTTTTTTTCTTTTTTCAGCTCTTTCACTGCGTGTACCTCTATATAAGCTTACGCGCTTGCAGCAGCAGCGGCGTATTTATGTATGTGCACAAGCGCACCGCTGCACCCACACACGCGCGCGATAGGGCCGTGCAGTAGTAAGCAGCAGCAGCACGCGTGACCTTCGTCAGCAAGCGCTGGTATACATCAACGTCTTTTGCGCTCTTTCTTTTGCCTCGCGCGCGCGGCGCGGCGCGTGCTTTCGCGCTCAACCTAATAAATACAATGAGCGCGTATATATCTATACAGTTGTAAAAGTGTATACGTTTTTTCCTTTTTTTTGATTCAGTCAGCAGTCCCACCGATAAGCATCAGCTCGCGTTAAAGATATGTATACGTATACTGCAAAGCGCGTGGATTATTTGTAAAAAAGCACGTATACGGCAATCGCTGCTATATATACATCAACGAGATGCGCGCTTCTCTCTCTCTCTCTATAAAAGATTCGTCCGCGTGCACTCCTTTTTTCCGCGCTGCGCGTAAAACCAACGCTCCGAGGCAAGATAGTGTATGTGTGTGTGTGTATGTATAGCTTTGATGCTCCGGATAAAAAAAAAGAAAGAGAAAAAAGCATGCAGTAGCACATAGTAGTGGCCTATAGCCTCGCTCGCTCGCTGCTGCTGCGGTGCGAGCGAGCTCCCGAAGAAGAAGCAGCATAGTATTCGTAAGAAGAAGGCCTGAGAAATTGAAGCTATTTAAATACTAAAGACAAATGAAGCTGAAAAGTTTCTCTTTGCCACTATACTACTACTGTGTGCAGCAGCAGCCATAGTGCCGTGCAGTGCAGCGCAGCCGCGCGCTCAGGAAGAAATACTGGTGTACTGCATAGCTACCAGCACAGATAGTTGCACAGGAAAAGAGTATTCAACTGGTTTGATAGCTCGCGGCTCTAGGCCGACGAGGCTGCTATGTAGCGAGGCGAGCTGCACAGAGCAGAGCAGAGAGTTACTACGAGACGAGAGAGAAAGACGACCGATTCGCTGCTGCTGCTGTATTAATGTAGGTTGTATCATCGTCGAGCAACTGCAGCAGCAGCAGCAGCAGCCTGCATATATAACAGCAGGCTAGATATATACCATACATAAACGATCCGTATAGCAGCAGCAGCTCGTACGTCAGATGTTTATTACTACCTCGTTGCGAGTCTTTTTCTGCGCCTGCACTCACGCCGTAGCAGTGTAGCAGGAGTCGCTATATAAATGAGCGCGCGCGCGCCTGCCTGCCTCTCTGCTATACGTAGCGGAATCAAACGAATATCCGGTTCTTTCTTTTTGCGCCAAAAGAGAAAAGCCGGAAGCTTTATTATATTAACCCATATAATAAGTACTGCTGCTGTGGCTGCATACGCGCGTGTTTCGACCTGGGCCTCGTCCACTCTATGCTACGAAAAAAATTGTCATTTC